GGACATATCACACTTTGAAATAGGAACCTCTCTTTTAAAACTTACTTTTTCAGTATTAATGTAATCATATCCTCTTGTCAGTATTAAATTTGGCTGCTATGAATTAATATTTTGTTTTAATTTCCCGTCCTTTAACAGTCTGATGAAAACTCCATGTTTGGCTACCTTCAATTCTGCTAGATTAGATCAAATTCTAGTCCCTTTGAGGGATAAATTTATTATCATTTTCCTGATAAATACTTGAAATATAATAAATACCTCAAGAAACAGAATGTTAACCACTGGAGGTTTATGCTCCTTAGTTTCTCCATCCATTGCATCATGAAAAATTTCCTCTTCTTTCTCCTCTTCCTGTTAATGGAACATGAATACTAATTATAAACAAACAAAACAAAATGCTCGACAAAATTACTAATTTTAGCATTGCATTGTACATTGCTTTACAAGAATCAAACAAAATAATTCTAACTTCAAAGGTCATGAAGATTTTTCTCTATTATAGTAACATATCATATCCATTTGTTTCTTCTTGTTTACCTGATTGTCCTCCGTCTTCATTGTTTGGCCCTCGGTGTCTGGGTTTCTACCTGTTTACCTGATTGTTTACCTGATTGTTTCCACCTCTTTACCTGATTGTTTACCTGATTGTTTCCCTCTGTTTACCTGATTGTTTCCACCTGTTTACCTGATTGTTTACCTGATTGTTTACCTGATTGTCCTTCGTCTTCAGTGTTTGTCCCTCGGTGTCTGGGATTCCATCTGTTTACCTGATTGTTTATCTGATTGTTTCCACCTCTTTACCTGATTGTTTACCTGATTGTTTCCCTCTGTTTACCTGATTGTTTCCACCTGTTTACCTGATTGTTTACCTGATTTTCCTCCGTCTTCAGTGTTTGTCCCTCGGTGTCTGGGATTCCATCTGTTTACCTGATTGTTTACCTGATTGTTTCCCTCTGTTTACCTGATTGTTTCCCTCTGTTTACCTGATTGTTTACCTGAATGTCCTCCGTCTTCAGTGTTTGGTCCTCGGTGTCTGGGTTTCCACTTGTTTACCTGATTGTTTCCCTCTGTTTACCTGATTGTTTACCTGATTGTTTCCCTCTTTTTACCTGATTGTTTCCCTCTGTTTATCTGATTGTTTCCCTCTGTGTACCTGATTGTTTCCCTCTGTTTACCTGATTGTTTTCCTCTGTTTACCTGATTGTTTCCCTCTGTGTACCTGATTGTTAACCTGATTGTTTCCCTCTGTTTACCTGATTGTTTCCCTCTGTGTACCTGATTGTTTCCCTCTGTTTACCTGATTGTTTCCCTCTGTTTACCTGATGGTTTACCTGATTGTTTCCCTCTGTTTACCTGATTGTTTACCTCTGTTTACCTGATTGTTTACCTGATTGTTTCCACCTGTTTACCTGATTGTTTCCCTGATTGTCTTCCGTCTTCAGTGTTTGGTCCTCGGTGTCTGGGTTTCCACCTGTTTACCTGATTGTTTCCCTCTGTTTACCTTATTGTTTACCTGATTGTTTACCTGATTTTCCTCCGTCTTCAGTGTTTGGTCCTCGGTGTCTGGGTTTCCACCTGTTTACCTGATTGTTTACCTGATTGTCCTCCATTTTCAGTGTTTGGTCCTCGGTATCTGGGATTTCACCTGGAGGTAAAGTCTCTGATAACTCGTCCCGATCCTCAGAATCTTCTGGTGTTGGTTCTTCTAATTCCTCATCATCTTTTGCTGTCAATTCATCAGGGATAAAAACCTGATCTACATCGGCAAATAATACCTTTAAAATAAGAATTTGGAAAATGTTCATCTGTTGTCTCTGTCACACACAAAAAATAAAACAAAAGAGTGGTGGACATCAACGCTCACCTGGGAAATCCAGCCTCTTCTGATTTTTATCAAAAGATTGATCTGAATTGTTTTTTAATCAAATGAAAATTATTTTGCTATATATTGACTTGAATCAATACATATTGAAGATGTTTCAACCAGCAGATATTCATCTAAATATATTTTTTGACTGCCCCTTTTCACATAAAGAGAACAAATCAACATAAGGGCTGGACATGTGAAAATTTTATCATAAGACTCTGGGAGTATGTCTCTTGGAATGTTTAGAATAATGTTTGCAAGAATTTGCCTTTTGGGTGCTAATTTGGGTTTATTTCTAGACATTTCATAAAGTGATTGTTTTAATGTCAATTGTATGTTTAATTTGATATTTCTCAAACCTTACAAGGGAATTCTGATATTTTTTTAAAGAGTAAAAGATACCTTTTACCGGTAGTTAAAATATCATTGATTTTGATTTGCATGGCGTTGTTTTTTTATGCATTGATTTTAAGAAGGTGTTTTCAATCACTGATTGAATCAGGGGACTTTCCTCTTTGTAGGCAATAGATACACTTTTTTATTAATTGCTTACCTCATATTTTTTCGGTGTCAATGATTGGTCTTCGGTTTCTAGGTTTTCAGAGTTAGGCACAGACTTCTTGTTTTCTTCTCTTTCGTCAAATGTTTCTTCTTTGTCAGATTTCACCACTTCTGGTTTTTCTGGACTCTCAAATTCTTTTGCCTTCACTTCCACTGGGATGAAAACATGATCTTTATCGGCGGTAAAAACCTTTAAATAGAAGTTGGAAAAATCTTCATCCATGGACAATAAAAGTCGGATGGTTTAATTACCAAGACCCAAAAATTTTATGAGATAAACACATCCGAGCATAGCGCAGTGTTAAAAAAAACCCAAAACACGAATTTGTCCTATCTACAATATTGACAAGAAGTTTCTAAATGCTTACTTTAACTGTATTATATTGAAACTAACTACCATGCTTAGGTGGAAAACCCCTGAGTTTTTTTTTCATTCCTATAAACGATGGTATAGCAGAAAATTTTATCTTTGTGTTTGTATTACATTTTATTTATATTATTTTTTTTTTTTTCGAAAAATCATTTTTATTGTTCTCTTTTTTTCTTGTCCAGCCTAAAAGGTAAAATTTATCCCTAGAAGAGGCGTTTTTTTTTTTACTTTTACTCATCAACCATGATACACTGTTACATTTGGAAAAAAACAACCTCTTTTTGCTTACAAATTAGATACGAGGGTTGTCCTAAGCGGCGCACAGAGATGTAACAAAATGTTTTGGATATGGTTTTTATACATTAGGAGACAGGGAAAAAAGAGTACAAATGTGACAGTACACGTTAAATGAAGTTATTTTTAAATGGCATGAGATTCAATGAGAGTGTTTCCTTTATACCGAAACTAGTTAAAGCATGTAAGAAGTGAAGTACTGTTTGTTAAGAGCCTTTCACAACTGGCGCACGAGCAAAAGCGACCGATAATCTTTGATTTGGATCGTAAACTGTTGCTGAAATAATCGCATATGGAAAAAGTATTCATACGAAATTCGCATGATCTAAAGCGACCGTTGTGCTTTAAATCTTTCGATATATCTTGCGTCCATATGCGACTGTTGTACAATGAAAGCGAGTGTTGTAAGATAATGCAAAAGGATCGCACGAGTGATCAGGTGATCGAACGATTGAACGTGCACCAATGCGACTGGACGTAAGGCGATCGTGCAATCATGGGTTTCATGGTACGAATGATCGTGCGAGTGAGATATTTTCTACCCGTTTCCGACCCTCGTTAGTCGAATGCAAGAGATGTGTTTCAAAAAGATGACAAAAGCTACAGGTAAAGCAAAGGTAAACCATAGAAAGAAGGCCCAGGAGGAGGAGGCCCAGGACCTGCCGCAGCAGCCGAGCCCTGATCATAATCCGCCTGAGCTTGTATTGGTGAAGCAGCATTCATGGTCAATTGTGGTCTGAAACAGAGATGCTTATACAGGACAGGGTTTACATATACTAGTGGCAAAGCATGGGAAATTGAAGCTGATAAATCGTGCATAGTAAACCGTTGTAAGATTACATGAGACATGTTGAGCAACAGTCTCATGGTCGCACAACACACGCATATACAGCTGCGATTCATCTTCCGACCTTTAAAAATCGTGCAACACTCTTGCGAGTACACAAAACGTTGTAAGATGGTCGTGCTAATATTCGTGCGTTGAATTGCGGTAAATGTGGATCGCATTTGGTCGCGTCTGAATAGTGTGCATGTCGACTATTTTGAGGAGACTTGATGCGACCAATAAAACGCATGCAACGAATGCGAAATATCGTGCAACGTATGCGAGAGCTCGGCGAGAGCTCGTACGAAGCTAAAATTTCTCGATCGCAAAGTATTGTAAAGTGCTCGTGCGCGAATTGTGAAAGGGCCTTTAAACGCACACAATGGGAACCAATCTGGGCCACAAACGACGTCACTCAACGTGTATTATCTGCTGCCTACAGTGTAAGGCGTTGATTTTCGACTAAATTTCGACTGAAATTTGAATCTGCAAAAAAAAAAAAAAAAAAAAAAAAAAAAAAAACAACAGAAGTGAATTGAAATAAGTTCCTTAGACAAGAGTGGCCTTTCACTTTAAAATTAGTATAAAAAAAAATATTGAATGTTAACAGACGCGCGTGAAGCAGAAAAAGAGATCATAAGATTATAAGAGACGTAAATTACGGTTGCTTGCGCCGATGTACACTTGCATGCATTCTTCATTTTTTCATAATTTTCTTATTAAATGTGAAATCACAATGAAACTTGAAATGAATGATCATAAAATGTTACTTTTTGCTATGACAAGGACAGAAATTTAATCTAGCAAAGAGAAACTAAACTGTTTTCCCTGTCTACGACTTTTCCGGACAACCCCCGTAGATATTTTAAAAAATGATCGATGGGTACCTTTTTCTTTGGCTCCGTCTGGATAGGCGTCAATCCAATGAATTCCGACATGGCTTTTTTCCACTTGGTATAAGCACATCTTTTGGAGACAATATTTAAAACATCGTAGAGGGTTGGTGCTTGACTTCTTCTCTCGATGTCAAAAAGATTTCGTTCGTAATGAGGTCTAGTTTTCTGTATGGAGAGAAAAGTACAGATAATGTGTTGTAAAATTAATTTTCTGAATAAAAAATCGTATGAAATAGAGAAACCACGCATTTCCACCAAGATTTTTATTTCAATTTGTTTGTATAAAAATATCAGTTAGAAGCTACATGTAAGTAAGACAATACCGAATACTCGGGCCTCTTGGCTTTCTGCAGAAGAACTCGATATTCTCTCTCTGCTTCCTCCAAATCATTGTCCAACTTAAGTTCCTCTTTATAGCGTTTACAATTCTCCAGAAAATCAGGAATGGGTTTCAAATGTGGATTCTAAGAAGTAATCCATCAGTAGTTCTAATTAACTTTTATCGTCCATTCTTTCATTATTTTGATTATAAAATATCAACTTTTAGCGTATGCAAATATATCTGTATTTATTACTTGGTAAGCAATAAATGAGTTTATGTATTCGATATTTTTTACGTAAATTTTATTGTTTATATATAGAGAGTCAATGTTAAAACAAATAAACAAACCCCGGAACTACCTCAATAAACAGGACATGAACTTGAAACTCTCCTTCTTCCTTCATTTCCTGTAAAATCAATTATACAATTTCAAACACATATCAAACACAAATAAAATATACACAACTGGCAAAAGCTGTTATTATTGTCCATTTTTATACACTGAATTAACGACGGATTTTTCCGTTATTTCCCGATCATGACAAGGAGCATACAGCGGGTGTGACCGGTCGGCAGGGAATGCTCACTCCTCCATGGCACCTGATCCCACCTCTGATGTTTCGGAGCTCTGTTCTAATTTTGTATTTTTTATGGACTTTGATATTGAATACTGTTTGTTATCTCCATATCCGCACAGAGAAAAGTTTACATTAAGGACTCTCTCTCTCTCTCTCTCTCTCTCTCAAAAGGATGGGAACTATTTCCTTCTCTTATCTTTATTATAACATAAATTTTTAAAACAGACTTGTGAATAAATACGTTGTTTTCGGGTCTTCGTGATACAAAATAAGATAAAATAAGATGATAAAAAATAAAACTGGGGAAAAAATCGCAAATCTTTAGCCACATTAGACGTGACACTAAAATAAACACATGTACCGGTATTTTTTCTCAAATATCTGCTACCTGTACATTATCGGAACGTAATCTTTATTTGTTTTGAGAGACGTGCACATTGGTTTATCTCTAGAGTGTGCAATGCTCAGGGAAAACCTTTTATTTATTTATTTTTATTTTTTGCAAATATTTGAAGCAAATTTAAATTTCTAAATTCACACAAAAGTTTAAACACTCCATAATGATCCGCCAGCCTAGTAAAAAAAACCTATTTTTATATGACCTGGTCGACATTTAATTCTCTGAAATTTAAATTAAGGTCAGCAATACAATACTGAAGAATAAGTCGACCAAAATACCATTGACTATATAGTTACGTCTAAAGTGGTGGAAATTTCTGACGAACTTCCTTACGGTTATTTTGTGAACTTTATATGGAGTGAAATCGATTATATTTATATTTTAGATAAAGCACTTTCGTTTTGAACAATAACAGATATATAAAAAATTTAAAGTTTATTATATTATGATTTAACAACCCATAATGCATTTTACATACTCTGATATTCTCACAATAATTACAATAAATGATCTCTGATCGAAATAGAATAAATAAAATTTAAACTTGGAGACGCATTATTTTATAGATCATTGATATCGACCTATAGATAACTATCACTGCCGAAGCTGGAAAGTAGAAAATTAAATACATTGTCACATTTTTTGCACGTTTTGTTCATGAGTATTGTTACTACTATAACTACTTGATTTAATTAATAACATAAACAAAACATTCTACCTTAGTTCCGCTCATTCTGGGTTTCTTTCCTGAAACGAACAAACCGAAAGAAGAAATTTACAAGTTTACCGACGGAGCATTAGTCCTGCAAAAAAATATAATGGGTACGGCTTAACGATGCATAAAGAACCTTGAATTTCCAGTCTGTCTAGTCCTTTGCATGTCTTGATTTGCAAGTGTAAATGGTATTTTCTCTGTTTGTGTTGATGCTAAATTTGCAGGTTACCGGACTTGTGCAATAAAAAGGAAATCCTGATATTATTCATTCCCCTAACGCTGCTCCATACAATTTATAGTGACTTCCTTGTTGTAAAATTTATGAGAGTTACCTACCTTTGATCGCAATAGAAAAATCTAGAATGTAAATCAGCTGTTTTTCAATAAACGTGAAGATGTCTTGATAGGTATTATTTTTAAAATATTTAAATAACACAGACGATAGTGAGCTAGCCTAATGAATTATGATTAGCATTTTAAATATCTGCTTTCTTTAAAGTATCTACAGTATATGATAATCTACCAAATAATTAATTTTATTAAAAACATACTGCACACAACAAAGTAATTATTTAAATTCTCAGTATGTAACCGTTCTTGTCATAAATAGGAATATTTTTTATTCGACAAGAATTTTCACAAATTTAACATTTTCAAAGCTTATTGTGTATGGTATAAAAATACATTAAAATCCGAGAGTTGAACAGAAAGGAACTTGCAGAAGTTTAATCTTATGTCGCATCAAACAGGAAGGTTTGAATACGTCAACGATGTTGTCGAACTTATTATTTTAAGTCCAATAGTCAATTAAATATATACTAATGCTACAAGATAACTAACTTAAACTTACATTGTATCTGTTTTTGTAAAATGAATGTACTTTATTTTTATTTTCAATAAAAAGGTCATTCTGCAGAACTTTACGTGTATCAGAATATCGACCACGAACGTATAGTTACTGAATTGCCTTTAAAATGAGGAGAGAGGGCAGCCAGAAAAAAAAAACTTTGACAAAAAATGTTGAAATCCTATATTTGGAATAGAGGGTGTCAAAGTTCTACCGTCTTTGACAACTAGATTTCACACATACTTTACCGAATTATTCTGATTTGACTCTAATGCAACAAATTAAAAAATGTGGGAGGGGGATAACAAATCTTTCTTTGAAAAATTAAAAGTGTACAGCCCCCCACCTCCCCCACCCGACATAACATGCCTTTAGGCTCAGAACAAATTGAAATGTAATCGTAAAAAGTTGGAACAAAAATATGCACCAATATTCAAATTTGAAGCAAAGCAAAAACGG